TGACTAGCACTAGGCCTGCCCCATCCCTCGTCAACTAGTGACTAGCACTAGGCCTGCCTCATCCCTAGTCAACTAGTGACTAGCACTAGGCCTGCCCCATCCCTAGTCAACTAGTGACTAGCACTAGGCCTGCCCCATCCCTAGTCAACTAGTGACTAGCACTAGGCCTGCCCCATCCCTAGTCAACTAGTGACTAGCACTAGGCCTGTCCCATCCCTCATCAACTAGTGACTAGCACAAGGCCTGTCCCATCCCTCATCAACTAGTGACTAGCACAAGGCCTGCCCCATCCCTAGTCAACTAGTGACTAGCACTAGGCCAGCCCCATCCCTAGTCAACTAGTGACTAGCACTAGGCCTGCCCCATCCCTAGTCAACTAGTGACTAGCACTAGGCCTGCCCCATCCCTAGTCAACTAGTGACTAGCACTAGGCCTGCCCCATCCCTAGTCAACTAGTGACTAGCACTAGGCCTGCCCCATCCCTCATCAACTAGTGACTAGCACTAGGCCTGCCCCATCCCTCATCAACTAGTGACTAGCACTAGACCTGTCCCATTCCTCATCAACTAGTGACTAGCACTAGGCCTGTCCCATCCCTCATGAACTAGTGACTAGCACTAGGCCTGTCCCATCCCTAGTCAACTAGTGACTAGCACTAGGCCTGCCCCATCCCTCATGAACTAGTGACTAGCACTAGGCCTGCCCCATCCCTTGTCAACTAGTGACTAGCACTAGGCCTGCCCCATCCCTAGTCAACTAGTGACTAGCACTAGGCCTGCCCCATCCCTAGTCAACTAGTGACTAGCACTAGGCCTGCCCCATCCCTAGTCAACTAGTGACTAGCACTAGGCCTGCCCCATCCCTAGTCAACTAGTGACTAGCACTAGGCCTGCCCCATCCCTCATCAACTAGTGACTAGCACTAGGCCTGCCCCATCCCTCATCAACTAGTGACTAGCACTAGGCCTGTCCCATTCCTCATCAACTAGTGACTAGCACTAGGCCTGTCCCATCCCTCATGAACTAGTGACTAGCACTAGGCCTGCCCCATCCCTCGTCAACTAGTGACTAGCACTAGGCCTGCCCCATCCCTCATGAACTAGTGACTAGCACTAGGCCTGTCCCATCCCTAGTCAACTAGTGACTAGCACTAGGCCTGCCCCATCCCTCATGAACTAGTGACTAGCACTAGGCCTGCCCCATCCCTTGTCAACTAGTGACTAGCACTAGGCCTGCCCCATCCCTAGTCAACTAGTGACTAGCACTAGGCCTGCCCCATCCCTATCAACTAGTGACTAGCACTAGGCCTGCCCCATCCCTCGTCAACTAGTGACTAGCACTAGGCCTGCCCCATCCCTCATGAACTAGTGACTAGCACTAGGCCTGCCCCATCCCTAGTCAACTAGTGACTAGCACTAGGCCTGCCCCATCCCTAGTCAACTAGTGACTAGCACTAGGCCTGCCCCATCCCTCGTCAACTAGTGACTAGGCCTGCCCCATCCCTCATCAACTAGTGACTAGCACTAGGCCTGCCCCATCCCTCATCAACTAGTGACTAGGCCTGCCCCATCCCTCATCAACTAGTGACTAGCACTAGGCCTGTCCCATCCCTCATGAACTAGTGACTAGCACTAGGCCTGCCCCATCCCTCATCAACTAGTGACTAGGCCTGCCCCATCCCTCATCAACTAGTGACTAGCACTAGGCCTGCCCCTCATGAACTAGTGACTAGCACTAGGCCTGTCCCATCCCTCATCAACTATTGACTAGCACTAGGCCTGTCCCATCCCTCATCAACTAGTGACTAGCACTAGGCCTGTCCCATCCCTAATCAACTAGTGACTAGCACTAGGCCTGTCCCATCCCTCGTCAACTAGTGACTAGCACTAGGCCTGTCCCTAATCAACTAGTGACTAGCACTAGGCCTGCCCCATCCCTCGTCAACTAGTGACTAGCACTAGGCCTGCCCCATCCCTAATCAACTAGTGACTAGCACTAGGCCTGTCCCATCCCTCATCAACTAGTGACTAGCACTAGGCCTGCCCCTCATCAACTAGTGACTAGCACTAGGCCTGTCCCATCCCTCATCAACTAGTGACTAGCACTAGGCCTGTCCCATCCCTCATCAACTAGTGACTAGCACTAGGCATGCCCCATCCCTCAACAACTAGTGACGAGCACTAGGCCTGTCCCTCGTCAACTAGTGACTAGCACTAGGCCTGCCCCATCCCTCGTCAACTAGTGACTAGCACTAGGCCTGCCCCATCCCTAGTCAACTAGTGACTAGCACTAGGCCTGCCCCATCCCTCGTCAACTAGTGACTAGCACTAGGCCTGCCCCATCCCTAGTCAACTAGTGACTAGCACTAGGCCTGCCCCATCCCTAGTCAACTAGTGACTAGCACTAGGCCTGCCCCATCCCTCATCAACTAGTGACTAGCACTAGGCCTGCCCCATCCCTAGTCAACTAGTGACTAGCACTAGGCCTGCCCCATCCCTCATCAACTAGTGACTAGCACTAGGCCTGCCCCATCCCTCGTCAACTAGTGACTAGCACTAGGCCTGCCCCATCCCTAGTCAACTAGTGACTAGCACTAGGCCTGCCCCATCCCTCATCAACTAGTGACTAGCACTAGGCCTGCCCCATCCCTCATCAACTAGTGACTAGCACTAGGCCTGTCCCATCCCTCGTCAACTAGTGACTAGCACTAGGCCTGCCCCATCCCTCGTCAACTAGTGACTAGCACTAGGCCTGCCCCATCCCTCGTCAACTAGTGACTAGCACTAGGCCTGTCCCTCATCAACTAGTGACTAGCACTAGGCCTGCCCCATCCCTAGTCAACTAGTGACTAGCACTAGGCCTGCCCCATCCCTAGTCAACTAGTGACTAGCACTAGGCCTGCCCCATCCCTCATGAACTAGTGACTAGCACTAGGCCTGCCCCATCCCTCATCAACTAGTGACTAGCACTAGGCCTGCCCCATCCCTCATCAACTAGTGACTAGCACTAGGCCTGCCCCATCCCTCATCAACTAGTGACTAGCACAAGGCCTGTCCCATCCCTCATCAACTAGTGACTAGCACAAGGCCTGTCCCATCCCTAATCAACTAGTGACTAGCACAAGGCCTGTCCCATCCCTAGTCAACTAGTGACTAGCACTAGGCCTGTCCCATCCCTCATCAACTAGTGACTAGCACTAGGCCTGTCCCATCCCTCATCAACTAGTGACTAGCACAAGGCCTGTCCCATCCCTCATCAACTAGTGACTAGCACAAGGCCTGCCCCATCCCTAGTCAACTAGTGACTAGCACTAGGCCAGCCCCATCCCTAGTCAACTAGTGACTAGCACTAGGCCTGCCCCATCCCTCGTCAACTAGTGACTAGCACTAGGCCTGCCTCATCCCTAGTCAACTAGTGACTAGCACTAGGCCTGCCCCATCCCTAGTCAACTAGTGACTAGCACTAGGCCTGCCCCATCCCTAGTCAACTAGTGACTAGCACTAGGCCTGCCCCATCCCTAGTCAACTAGTGACTAGCACTAGGCCTGTCCCATCCCTCATCAACTAGTGACTAGCACAAGGCCTGTCCCATCCCTCATCAACTAGTGACTAGCACAAGGCCTGCCCCATCCCTAGTCAACTAGTGACTAGCACTAGGCCAGCCCCATCCCTAGTCAACTAGTGACTAGCACTAGGCCTGCCCCATCCCTAGTCAACTAGTGACTAGCACTAGGCCTGCCCCATCCCTAGTCAACTAGTGACTAGCACTAGGCCTGCCCCATCCCTAGTCAACTAGTGACTAGCACTAGGCCTGCCCCATCCCTCATCAACTAGTGACTAGCACTAGGCCTGCCCCATCCCTCATCAACTAGTGACTAGCACTAGGCCTGTCCCATTCCTCATCAACTAGTGACTAGCACTAGGCCTGTCCCATCCCTCATGAACTAGTGACTAGCACTAGGCCTGCCCCATCCCTCGTCAACTAGTGACTAGCACTAGGCCTGCCCCATCCCTCATGAACTAGTGACTAGCACTAGGCCTGTCCCATCCCTAGTCAACTAGTGACTAGCACTAGGCCTGCCCCATCCCTCATGAACTAGTGACTAGCACTAGGCCTGCCCCATCCCTCATGAACTAGTGACTAGCACTAGGCCTGCCCCATCCCTCATGAACTAGTGACTAGCACTAGGCCTGCCCCATCCCTCGTCAACTAGTGACTAGCACTAGGCCTGCCCCATCCCTCATGAACTAGTGACTAGCACTAGGCCTGTCCCATCCCTAGTCAACTAGTGACTAGCACTAGGCCTGCCCCATCCCTCATGAACTAGTGACTAGCACTAGGCCTGCCCCATCCCTTGTCAACTAGTGACTAGCACTAGGCCTGCCCCATCCCTAGTCAACTAGTGACTAGCACTAGGCCTGCCCCATCCCTATCAACTAGTGACTAGCACTAGGCCTGCCCCATCCCTCGTCAACTAGTGACTAGCACTAGGCCTGCCCCATCCCTCATGAACTAGTGACTAGCACTAGGCCTGCCCCATCCCTAGTCAACTAGTGACTAGCACTAGGCCTGCCCCATCCCTAGTCAACTAGTGACTAGCACTAGGCCTGCCCCATCCCTCGTCAACTAGTGACTAGCACTAGGCCTGCTCCATCCCTCATCAACTAGTGACTAGGCCTGCCCCATCCCTCATCAACTAGTGACTAGCACTAGGCCTGTCCCATCCCTCATGAACTAGTGACTAGCACTAGGCCTGCCCCATCCCTCATCAACTAGTGACTAGGCCTGCCCCATCCCTCATCAACTAGTGACTAGCACTAGGCCTGCCCCTCATGAACTAGTGACTAGCACTAGGCCTGCCCCATCCCGAATCAACGAGCGACCTGTCACTCCATTCCGCTGCCCACCCACACGTTCCCATTGCCGGCAACGATGTCCCCCCAAAATTTGCCCGAGTGCACGGTGGCCTCCTGGCCGTTGCCCGTGGCCGTGCGGCCGCACCTGCAGCTGTATGGACTGGGTGAGAGGTAGCGACGCGAGGGCGCTTGCGGCGCTGCTTGCCGTGCCCATGGAGGCCGACGACGACACCGGCTGCTGATTGGCCGACTGTTGCACAGCCGCTGCTATCAGCTGTGCCTGGGCTTGCTGCAGCAGGGCAAGCTGCACACACACAGACACCAAAGACAGAAATCCACCATATAGCCTTGAACAAACTGTCGGGGCAATTGCTGTTAGCGAGTAGTACCTGTGAAGACCGGAACGGCACACGAGGGGGTGGGTAGCCAGCACCACAAAGATAAAGATCCCCCATATAGCCTTGAACAGACTGTTGGGGCCAAGTGCTGTTCATGAGTAGCACCTGTGAAGTGATGGTACGGTGCTCGTTACCATACAAATACCGTATCGCACAATTTCATATGCACGTCTGCGGCCGTGTGGAACTCTCTTCCTTCCGATATTATGAATCCACTGGAGCTATGCACTTTGAAATCGAGTTTGAAAACTAAATTGTTTACAACAGTTTTTTGTGTTTAGTCTGTTGTCTCTTCCCCCACACCTCTGTTTAGCACGGTTGGCTACGTACACTGCAAAAGCGGTTCAATATATATACACACATTACCTAATGTCCGATTGGGTCACCAGCACCACGCCTGGCTGCCTTTGTCTCCCTAGTACTGATTTTTTTTTTTATACCGCACCAGGTACTCATTTAAGGCTGAGTCTACCGAGGGGAATCTCAGGACAGGTAGCTGGGACGCCGAATGTCAAAACCGGCGCAGAGGTTTGCTGGTGCTGACCAAATGCTGCTGAAGGTGATGCCCCTTCAGAGAGGGAGGGCCACGTGGCTGAGACTGGATGAGTATGCATAAGCAGAGGAACAGGCATTATTACTGGTAGGAACCACCTGCTTCCACCAGCCCACAGGGGATTATTGTGTCTGTCCGTCGTGCAGGGAGGGGCTGGGTGGGAAGGGGAGGGTGGGGAGGGGCTGGGTGGGGAGGGAAGGGCTGGGTGGGGAGGGGGAGGAGGGGCTGGGTGGGGAGGGTGGGAAGGGGCTGAGTGGGGAGGGTTGGGAGGGTTGGGAGGGGCTGGGTGGGGAGGGTAGGGCTGGGTGGGGGGTGGGAGGGGTGGGGCTGGGTGGGGAGGGGCTGGTCACCCCGTGGTGCCCTTATAAAACTCAACGTTTAACCTACTCACGCCGGCTTGTGCCCGCCCTCACAGTCGGGCATATTTGCGGAATACACCACGCCGCCGTTGTCCCTGGCCATTGACCGAGCAACCCGACGTTCCTACCAACTCCCTCCACAGGAATGTGTTTCGTTGCTATGAGAAGGAGGGTGGATCGATGCCTCCTCCCACGTCTGGATGGCAACTCCAGCCTCCAGATGGGGCTCTACGGGGCGGCATCTACGTTTCGCGTGCCCTGTGCGTGCATGTGCGTGTGTGCATGTGCGGGGCGTGGTAGTGTAGTGGTAAGCGCGCTGCTCTACGAACCCGGCAACCAGAGTTCGATTTCTGCTCACGGCCAACACAAAATGACGATTATCTGAACTGGCCTTGGGCTTCCCTAGGTAGACTCGGCCTCAAATGAGTACCCATCGCCACTGGAGAGACAAAGGCGGTCGGAAGTGGTGCTGCCCACCCACCCCCTCGAATACCGTGCTGGACATACTCTTTGGTTCTTTCGGTAAAGTCACGTAGGTATCAAATAAAATAAATTGAATCACGACGTTTCGATTGAAACACAAGCAATCATCATCAGGTGGGAAAACCACGTGACTTTACCGTGCTGGACTTCATGAGTGCTCGCTAACAGCACTTTCCCCAACAATCTGTTAAGGCTATACGGGGGATCTTTGTTTGTTTGTTGTGTGCAAATGCATGTATGTTGAACTCCTTTCGCACTGTATGTAGCCAACTGTGTTGATTGGAGGTGCAGAAGAACAACAAACTAAACGTCTGCAGAAGCGCATCTGAAAATGGGGGATGCAGTAAGGTGTGTGTGTGGGTGCGTGTATGTGTGTGAATGTGTGTTAATGTGTATGTGTGTGTATATGTGTGTATGTGTGTGAATGTATATGTGTGTGAATGTATATGTGTGTGTGTGAATGTAGTGTAGCGGTTAGCGCGCTGCGCTATGAACCTGGCGACCCGGGTTCGATTCCCGCTCACGGCTAACACCAGTGACGATTATCTGAACCGGTCCTGGGCCTCCCCTAGGTCGACTCAGCCTGAAATGAGTACCTGGTGCGGTGTGTAAACATCGTCACTAGGGAGACAAAGGCGGTCGGGCGTGGTGCTGGCCACCCACCCCCTCGTGTACCGTTCCGGCCTTCATAGGTGCTCGCTAACAGCACTTGCCCCTACAGTCTGTTCAGGCTATACGGGGGATCTTTGTGAATGTATGTGTGTGTGAATGTGTGTGTGTCTGTGGGTGCGTGTATGTGTGTGGGTGTGTGTATGTGTGTGTATGTGCGTGTATGTGTGTATGGGTGCGTGTGTGTATGTGTGAATGTATGTGTGTATGTATGTGTGTATGTGTGTGTGTGTTACCCCTGTAATCTGGTTTCCGGACAGCATGAACTGTGCCTGTGGGATGGCTTGCTGCAGCATGGCGGCTTGCTGCTGTGACACCTGCTTCAGCTCCGCAAGCTCATCCGACTTCAGCTGCACACGCACACAAAGACAAAGATTCCCCATTGAGCCTGAACAGACAGTTGGGGCAAGTGCTGTTAGCGAGCAGCATCGATGAAGCCTGGCGCGACACATGAGAAGGTGGTGTGGCCGGGTGAGATTTTATTGGTGTAAGCCTGCGTGTATGTGTATAGTATACCGCCTTGTGAGCTCCGGGTGAAAAGCGCTATAAAAGTGTAAATTATTATTATACGCACTGCACCAGGTACTCATGTGAGGCCGAGCCAACAGAGGGAGAGGCCGATGATCGGTTTAGATATTCGTTCACCATTGATGATAGCTCAAATTACGAGCGGGCGAATCGATCGTTTCAACATCAGTGGCCGAGCCCCGTGGTCACCGAGACATCACCGAGACATCACCGCAACTCTAGCAACCTGGTGCGGTGAGACGCCCCCTCCCGTCCCCCCTCCCAGCGGAGAGCCCCAGAGGAGGAGGGTCAGAGCTCGCTTCACCCACTTGGAGCGGCTGGGATGGTTTACGACCCCACAAACGCGGGCGGCACAGCCTCACGGTAGTGCGGGAAGGGGTCGGGCGACACCGTTGGGGCTGGATGTCCATGCTCATGGCTCCGAGCAGTGGGGTGGTAGCAGCATCGCTCTAAATCGTCTCAAATGGTGAACTAAACTAAACAATTTTTTATTTTACCAGGTAAGGCCCACTGAGCTATGTAGCTCTTTTTCAGAAGCGACCTGGCCACCAATGATAGCTCAACGAAGTGGCTTATAATCACGTGGAAATTTAAAGCAGCCAAATACTCTGAATGCATGTTGATTCTAAATGTGGAGGGAAAAACTGGAGGACCCGGAGAAAAATCTACATGACTGCGGGGAGAGAGACACCGCAAACTCCCAAATCAAAAGCTGTCAGGGTCAGGATCGAACCCACGACCTCCCGCATACCAGGCAAGGGAGTAAACATCTCGCTACCACGGCACGCCAACTGGGCACCTCCGCCGGTCTCCCAGCCGGGCCGAGCCAGACTCCAATACCGGAGGGTTACAGAGGCCGGGGGGTTACAGAGACTAGGGTGTGCGCTGGAGTCACGCGGTGAGGAGCGGAGGTCATCATTATCATCATCAGACAGCGGCTGCCCTCCCCCACTATCTCCCTCGACTTTAAATGCAGGACCTGGGTGTGTGGAGGGGGGACGAGGAGGAGGAGGTGGGGGGAGGCAGACCCAGGACACGCACGGTGCGCGTTCTTGGGCTGGTTTCTCCCAAATGGAATTTGGGAGCGAGGATTGATGTTGAAATCATTTTCGGTATCAACACAAGACGAACAAATCGCATTAACAGAGGAGAGCCATGTAAATCTTCCAACAACCAAAGCAACTGAAGCATAATTATTCACCGGTTTGGTCAGCCCCAGCGGCCAGACGATCATTGGCAAGGACCCCCCCCCCCCCCTCTCTCTCTGTCAATGAGTTTTTGCTCGTGTTGAACGAACCCAATGCTATACACCAGAATTATGCACTCCCTGAAGGGCCGTGTGGCTGATGGGATGTGTGAAAATAAATTGTTTTGATTTTACGTGTTAAGGAGAGAGAGGGATACAGGCAAGGAAGTGCGTATTGCCTTCGTGCTGTCGACATTATTTATCCGGCTACTTACATTCTCCACAACCGACACTAATTATTACTTAGTGCCGTGCGTTACGGCACTAAGTTTTGCTGCTGCGTTCAGTTGTGGATTCGATCTGGCGTGATGAGATTTTAATAGAGAACAATTCACTCTCCACCCACACCCCGTGTCTGCTGCTACACAACACAGATGAAGACAATGATCCCCCGTGTAGCCTTGACAGACTGTTGGGGCAAGTGCTGTTAGCGAGCACCTGCAAAGGCCGGAATAGCACACGAGAGGGTGGGGTGGCCAGGACGACGCCCGACCACCTTTGTCTCCCCAGTGGCGATGTTTACACACCGCAAAAGGTACTCATTCGAGGTTGAGTCGACCTAGGGGAGTCCAAGAACCGGTTCAGATAATCGTCCCTGGTGTTGGCCGTGAGCGGAACTCAAAGTCGGGTTGCCGGGTTCGTAGCCCAGCGCGCTCGCCACTGCACTACCGCTCCCCATACTACACAATAGGCTATCACACACACATACAGGTACAGTGCGGGAAAAAAGTATTTGATCCCTTGATGATTTTGTACGTTTGCCCACTGACAAAGAAATGATCAGTCTATAATTTTAATGGTAGGTTTATTTGAACAGTGAGAGACAGAATAACAACAAAATCCAGAAAAACGCATGTAAAAAATGTTATAAATTTGTAATGCGGTTGTAAACGGCCCTTCTGAGGTGCCGTCAGGGGGGGAGGAGTTAGGTCACGTGGGGGGCAGAGGGGTTGAGTATAGAAGGAGGGGAACCGGAAGAGCAAGGGGAGTGACGGGGAACCAGGAACAGAGGAAGGCCACGAAGGGCGAAGCGGGGTGTGGCGAGATCGCCACGAACACGGGGGGAGCGAGGATCGGCACCGTTGGCCAGCGGTGACCGACCCGAAGCAGCGAGGAGGCTGCAGTCAGCAGCGGGGCTGCACAGAGAGGGTGGGCAGCGGGTCTGCATATAGTGACAGCCAGAGGGTCTGCACATAGGGGTAGCAGCGGGAGTCTGCATAGGGGTAGCAGCGAGTCTGCAGGGAGGAGGTTACAGTAGATGAAGCAGAGAGTCAGAGGGGAGAGGAAGCTATAATAGCAGTGAATAGCCGGGGGCTACAAATACAGGAGTTATAACAGAGTGCCGTGTGGGTAAAGACGTGAACCTGAATAAAGACACGAAGACAGAAAGAAGTTTCGATTTAAAGCTTTCGTGACTGCAGGGATTCATCTTCTTGTTTCTTTCGGTAAAGTCACGTAGAAGGGAAGTAATAAAATAATAAAAATAAAACATAATAAAACAATTCTCACGACGTTTCGGCTACAACGCAAGCAGCCGTCTTCAGGTGAAGAATGAGACACTACCAAACTAGGAGCTTATATATAAGCTGCATTGGGGGTTGAAGAGCGCCTTAACAAAAAGAATGTGCATGTGAAGAGGGATTTAGCATATTCATGGAAAATGCGTAGGCGTTGGGCGGGGGGGTGTCAAAGTCATATTATGCCCATGCATTATGCAGGATCAGCAGCAACCAAGGGGGTGCAGGGATTAGCAGTAACAAAGGAAAGGAATGTTAATGATATGTAGCTGCAGTTACTCAACAACCACGTAGAAAACTAAAGTATAAACTACATAAAAAACTAAAGTATAAACTGCATCGCACCATCAGTATACTTACTATACTCTATAATAAGCTGAGTTACTAACAGCAAGTAATACATTACAATTTTACCTCGTAAAAATTCTATAATATGCTTCCATCTAAACCTTATTCTCTTACATCACACGAGCATATACCGTACTATATACTGCCATAGATAAACCCAACATTAAATTATATACTGTATTGCTGTAAACCAACCTATATCTTATACATTTAATATCACACTATGTATTATTCTACACACCCTAATGTGTATCGAAATGGTTTATTACGTCCTTCCAATGATTGCTGAGCCAGAATCCATCTTCTCGGTTAAAGTTGTCTCTGTGTTTGTATATGTGGATCGCCTCATGAACGAATCTCTCATGATAGCCAGATGGCTTGCAGAGAACCTCTGTCTTGGAGAAGTCAATATCATGTGAGCCCACTGAGTTGTAACAGTGATCTGCCACGGCTGAGGTGTTAGTCCTACCGTGTTTCAGGTCAGCTTTATGTTCACGGATGCGGTCCGAGACATGTCGTTTGGTTTCCCCAATGTAACTGCTACCACAGAGGCAACTTAGTTTGTAGACGCCAGGGTACTGTATGTCTGGAACCACATCTTTTACAGACGGTACCAGATCACGGATTTTATGTACTGTGTTGAATCGGACCTGGATCTTGTGTTTAATCAGGATTTTGGAGATCTTTTTTGTGACCCCAGCAATGTAGGGTAAGGTGATGGTCTTGAAAGGCTCCTCAACAGGATCCTTCTTGATGGTTGGAGTGATGGCTTTGCGGATTGTATAGTCGGAGTAACCATTTGCCTTAAGAGCTTGGCGTACGTGTTTGAGTTCACTGGAAATGTGTTCATGGTCGGAGATGCATTGGGCTCTATGATATAGAGTCTTGATGAGGGAATTCTTCTGAGATGGATGGTGGTGGGAATCCGGTTTTAGATAAGCATCCGTGTGGGTGGCTTTCCTGTAGACAGAGTGGCTCATTGAACCATCAAGTCTCCTTTTGATTAGGACATCCAAAAAGGGTAGCTTGCCATCATTTTCGACTTCCATGGTGAATCTGATGGCTGGGTGTATGGAATTGATGTGGTCGAGAAATTGGTCTAGAGCAGGCCGGCCATGTGGCCAGATGACAAAAGTGTCGTCTACGTACCTCTTCCATAAGGTCGGGCGTAGAGTGGCAGTCTGGATGGCGTCCGTCTCAAATTTCTCCATGAAGATGTTGGCTACAACCGGAGATAGGGGGGAGCCCATTGGGGTGCCCTCAATTTGCTTGTAGAAGGTTCCATTCCAGGTGAAGTATGTATTGGTTAAGCAGTGTCTCACCAGGGGGGGTACCCCAGCATTCAGTCCTTGATGAACCAAGTCTTCAATGATTGCGATGGTGTCAGGCACAGGTACCTTGGTGAACAAGGAAACCACATCAAAACTGACAAGCAGGTCGTCTGGGGACAGGGCAATCCCCTTGATTGTCGATACCAGGTCAGTAGAGTTTAGTACTGCAGAGGTGGTTTTTCCAGTGAAAGGCCGTAGGATTTCGGACAAAAAACGAGCCAGTTTGTAAGTGGGGGAGTTGATAGTAGAGACAATGGGACGAAGAGGTGTATCTTCTTTATGTATCTTTGGCAAGCCGTACAATCTTGGTGGTCTGGCTGCAGAAGGTTTCAACGAGAACTGTTTGGTCAGATCAATTAATGCGGTTGAAGCAGAAATGA